TAGAGACTTATTTTTCTGTGGTGGGTATGTTTATAAATAGGAATATTTATTTTTATTACTGTATCCTACCTTTATTATTTATAAATGAGGCAGAAAACATATCCAAAACACATTTCTCCTCTTATTTTCCCCACAACAACCACCCTGTGAGGTGACTTGAGCTGAGAGTGACTGACCCAAAATCACCCAGTTGGCTTTCATGGCTAAGGCAGGACTTCAGCTCACTGTCTCCCACTATCTAGCCTCTTTGAAGACATCTGCATATTTTAATTTTCTTTCTCCCACTATAGCCCCGATTACCATCTTCCTTAATACAGGTGGTCCTCGACTTATAACAGTTCATTTAGTGACTGTTCAAAGTTACAACAGCACTGAAAAAAGTTACTCATGACCATTTTTCACACTTATGACCGTTGCAGCATCCCCATGGCCGTGCGATTTACATTCAAATGCTTAACAACTGGTTCATATTTATGACGGTTGCAGTGTCCTGGGGTCATGTGGATTACCTTTTGCAACATTCTGACAAGCAAAGTCAATGGGGAAGGCAGATTCACTTAACAACCACTTTACTAAGGAGAAGGGCGGTATATAAATTAAATTAATAAATAATAAATAAATACTAACTTAACAACTGCAGTGGTTCACTTAACAAACGTGAGTGTCATGAAATGGGGAAAAATTCAATGAATTTCTCACTTAACAATATTAATTTTGGGCTCAATTGTGGCCGTAAGTTGAGGACTATCTGTATTATGGAAGTTTTCGCAAAAAGGGACATAGGGAAAGAAAAACAGGAGATTGTAAAAAAGAGGAAATTTCTTTCCTGTTAAGCCAGTCTTTGCTGAATCAATCCCCCACCAATAATGGGAAGACCTTTCTTTGCCCATTGAAAGCTTTTGTTGGTTTCTTGACATTACCATCACTTTTCTGTCCCTTTTTCATTTTATATTAGGTCCCTTTTTCATCCATACTGTTATCAACCTAAGAATGTCATTAATAAACATTTTTGAGAGTAAAAATCGGTTTTAAGACATTGGCGTCACTAGTGCAGTATCGCTTAGCTCTGTGGATGCAAGACAGTAAAGATCAGACAAGTCACTGCACATCAGTGAAGCCATTTACTTAATGTTAATTTTCTTTTGCAGAGAGATAGGATTTCAGTCTTTGTTTACATTACTCTCCCTCTGTCATTCTCTTTGTTTTTTGAACTTTATTCATATGAAATTCACATGAAATATGTTCTGCAAAAACTAATAGTATGTACTGAAAAAATGCCCAAAGGGATTGGAATCCCTAAAAGAGCATTATGAACATATGGGGAAGGGAGGTATCATTTTTCTAAGCAGCTTTAAAACTGTTAACCATTGGTTAATATTTGTCCTGCTTGCATCCAATTTGCATTTTGTTTCAAAACAGATATATCTTTAAATTTCAACTTGGAAAATGACTTCTCCTTATGTCATATTTTCATTATTTTCTGTAACTATAGAGTAAACCTTGAGCAGTTGGCTCCTTTGTTAGAATCCTTTTCTTAGAAAATATTCATTCTACCATTTGTGGTAGTAATTCTGCAAAGTTGCTATTTGACCAGCATAGGGGACTGAAACAGATGTTGGGGAAAGATTTTGTAAATGAGGATTAAGGAATCAAACTTTCTGCTTATTGATATTTCCCTTCATTTGCTGAATACCTCTTTTAATAAGACTAATTATTTTGAAAAACCTGAGACTTCCTTCACATACCTCAAGGGATATCCTAGTTTCCCTACCCAGTTAATCATGGATGATGTAACTTAGTCCTGGGTGAAAAGAAACAACAGAAGGTCTAGCTGAGTTATGGAATACAACAAAGTTACTGGCTAGAAAAATAAATCTTGGTCTCCAGGAGAATTTGGGGCTGCTGATCAACAGATGTTTGCAGCTAGGCTCTGCAGTTACATTTATTATTTATGTTTGTAAATAAACTCAAATGTTACAAAACTCAAACGTTACAAACTTCCAATGACCATGCGCTATCTTCAGGATTTTTCATCTTCAAAGAAAATATTGTAATAAGATGTTTCTCTGTGGCTAATGGATATATTGATTTCATGAGACTGTGAATTTGGAATCACAAAATGGATGCATTACAAGTCCATGGCAGAAGTGCAACTGCCAGTATTCCTCACAGTTGCCTAGGACAGTGATTCTTAACCTTTTCCTGACCGAGTGCCCAAAGCGCTCCCGAACCCCCAAAATGCACATGCGCCCCACTCCAGCGCATGTGCACAAGCCCCCCGCACGTGCCCCAGCCCATGCATGCGACCTCCCTGCATGCAACCTGCCCCCCGCGCATGCAAGGTAGAGACCCGAAGACCAGCTAGCCAGCGGAAGGCGCACACACATGTGTGGCGGAACTAAACTGGGGCAACGGCTCACGTGCCATTAGAGGGCGCTGCGTGCCACCTCTGGCACGCGTGCCATAGGTTCGCCATCACGGGCCTAGGAGTTGTAATTAAGGAATATCTAGAGAGATACAGCTTCCCAAGTCCCCTAGAGGGATACAAATGTTCCAAATGAAAATGAAGTCAGAATTATGGATTTTTTTTCTCTACATCTGCACAGGGTGTCTTATATGCTGACTAATGAATTTGTAAAAAGGATCCATACTGATATTGACATATTGATCAAATACTGCATGTTGACAAAAAAATATACTTAACACAAGCAACTTCCTATCATTGCAAATATTTGCATTAGAGAACAAATAAACTATATCTGCTTTTTACCGACTATTCTTAAATAGATATTTGGTAATAAGGGATGGCTCTGCATTAATTTAAGATCTGCATCTGTATGAAAAAGCATCCTCCTTTTGGAATTTTTAAGCTTTTATATATTTTGGCACTTATCAAAGCATTATTGGGTCCTAATGATATAAAAACTAAGTCTGAATGAACAAGGAACAAGTAACTTTGGTGATTTTTCATTTATTTCATGACAAAATACATGCTTGCAGTAAATCAATGTGAAAAACAATCGTCCCTTAGTTTCAGTAAGTGATTGCATCATGTTTTGCTGCAAGAATTGCATGCAAGCACCTCCTGAATTGGTGATCATATATCATCTATGGGGATTTAGTCCCATTTCTCTAATAACCAAGTAACATTAGAGGCTTTATTGGCATAAACTGCTCATTTTGAGTCCTGCCAAAGTGTTGCTGTGGAACTTTGATCTGGACTTAATGACTTTGCCATTCTAAAACACTGAATTTGTTCATTATTTACTATCTTGTAGACATGTCTTATATGTCTGGGGTCACTGTCTTGACCCACTTGCATTTCATATGACAGATGACCAATATTCTCCTGTAAAATCTGATATTCATATTCCATAGATTTCTCATTTATGAAACCTCCTGACATCCCTTGGCTTCTTTCAAATGCTTTCTGACAAAGTGACAAGTTTCAGTGTTTTTCTTAGTGATTTCCACCTTGCTGTTCTTCCTTGAACCCCATTTTTCATCAACTACTTTTCTGAAGTTAGGGGCGTGAATCTGTAACCATGCAAAAATCTGAATTCTCATTAACTCTTGCTAGTCTGACCAATGCAACTTTTATAGAAATCATGGTCCAAAACATTTGGAGTGACTCAAACCAGAACATAGTACACAATACTTGTTGCTTAGAGATTGCAAGCAGTCCATTCTTTTCTGATTCCCAAGAATCTCCCCAAATGAGATGAGTCAAAATTTTAGGCCCATTTTGGGAAGTGTTGGAGGATTTAAAGAATAATATCAGTGCATTAAAGTTTGCAGGTGCTTGCAGTGCTAATTTTATCCTTTAAAACTTTTGAAAATTCTTTCCCAAATGCCCATAGCCCCCCCACCCCCACCCCAGTATAATGTGGCTCATTAAAAGTTACATAAACATTGGGGTAGTCCTCAGGCAGCCAACGTTTGTTCATCCCTAGATTAAATAAATAATTCTTCCTTTGTTATGGCAACATAAGGCACATTAATCGTATAAGTGGCAGACATTCTAACACGTTAAGTCAAACAATTTAAAATTAATCTTTTAGTCTTTTGTTTCTATGGATTATTGTGATAACCAGTCACGGGGAAAACTCAATGCCATACACAAAGGTAAGATGTAGTTGACAATGATATACCATCCCAAGCATGCACCACAGGCAGCCATGCCTTTTTAAAAAATTGATGGTATGTCCAGTTGTTTCCAAAACAGCATTGAGCAGATGGAATCACTGGATACACCCAAGAGGCAGACGGATATTCCTGAAAGCAAATGAATCAGAATTAGATATGTTTTCCTTATATTTCAGTGCATTTTTTCTGTTCATAAAAATTTTGAGAAATGGCCTGAGTATTGATAAGCTTTCTTTTTGGGAAAAAAAAATGATCTAAAATTTAAGTTTAAGCAAACCTATTAGAAATAGAGGAGCCAGCCATGTGATGTCAAGCTGTGTACTGTATTAAGTTGCTGCTGTATAGTTTGCACTGCCTGTCTCTCTGCCTCATCAAGTTTCAGATAGGATCCTTTACCAGTCCTATACCTTAGCATTCACAGGTTAAATCATAATGTGGTCTGATTTTGACTTGGCCTGAACCATGAACCCGATCAACTGATTTATTAAAGAAACCATGGTTAAACGAAACCACGACTTAGCCTGAAATGCGAACCACTCCTTTTGCAGATGGGATAATGCTAACCTGAAATAATAAAGTTGCCCCGTCCAACAACCCCTTAACAACGGTATCGCCTAAACACGCGCTTTACTCAACTTGTACAAAAGTCGGCGGTTTCTATCTTCATTCTGCAAGTCCTTGCGGTATGGGATTGCGATTCTGCACGTTTGAGCACGTTTTAAGATAACCTTTATTGTCACTTTTTTCAGTGAACACACCGGCACACATTAAAAATGATTTTTAAAAAAAAAATTTTTTTTTACACTATCTGACCTCTTGTACAGTCTGAACCCATTTCTCAAAAGACAACGCCACGGGGCTTCCTCTCAGCCTATTTGTATTTAGGAGAGCAGACAGACGATTTCCAACAGCTGAGCTGCTGCTGTCGCGTCTCTCAGCAAGCGTGATCAAACTCCGCCGCCGGAGCATTCAACTCGCGCTGCTGCTGCTGTGCCAAAGGCAAAATACAGTAGGGATATAAGGCGTCCAGAAGCCGCCAAGATCTTCCAATCCGCTCCTCCCTCCGGATCAATAAGAGCCAGCAAGGTCCTCCCCTCTATGGGCGGAAAAAGAGCCCGATGCTGTCCCTGCCAGACGCGCTGGTCGCCGGGGCTTTACGCAATCGGTTCCAAACAGCGCAGCGTGGCGGCCGCCGGTTTCTCCCCTTTGGGGAGGGGAAGTAGGTGAGTACTGTCGGAGGGAGCGACGCACCGGCCCTGGAAAAGCAGGTAGGCGGAATTGACAGGGATTTCAAGCCGTTGGGCAAAGAAAGCCCAGGAGTGCGAAAGTTAGCGCCGGTAGCAGAGAGTGGCCTCTCATCGAGCGGGAACCGTGACTCGGCACCTTAAGGGACGGGCCGCGGGAGTTGGCGGGTTTGATCAAGTTGCGTGAAGGTGGGAAGAGCCTTCTTTCTTTCTCTCTCCCACCCCGCATCCCCATCCCCGGGGGAAGGCCGGGAGTGGGTGCTTTTGCGGGGAGGCAGGACAAGCAGCAGTTTATTTGATTTCGGAGATGGGTGGGGAAGGGAAGTCGGGCGTTTGGGCGCCCAGCCCAAACTTAAGCGGTTTCAACGAGAAGGCGCCCCAGTGGCGCTGACGTTTTTACTAGCGCCGCCCATGGTTTTTCGTGGTTGACACAAGTTCTTTAAAAGGGTGCTGATTCTGCAAAATATAGTTTGGCTGAGGGCCAGACCGTGCTAAACCACAATGTACGTGTGGCTTTGGCCGGGAGCCAATTGTGGTTTATTGGACGACCTACGCGTAAATGGAAGATAGTGCAGCCCAATAAAGTACGCGCGTCTCAATCTCCTCGCGCCGTTCCTTTGCCGTGTATTGATTCAGTTTGCCGTCCATTCGGAAGCATCGCTTCGAAGCAACCTCTGAAGAGTTCATACTGTAGGGTATTTTTAGATCAAAGCGTCCAAGTCCTTTCTGATTTCTGTTCTTCCGAAGTAAAGCGAAAGTTGCTCTCCTGAGGAAAAAGAAAATCCATATTGAGAAATACCTTCAGTACGCGAATTAAAGATTTAAAAATCATTGGTTTCGATGTGAATTCCACATTATGCTACTGGAAAATGTGACTGGCCAGGATAATTTATGATTAGGTGGATCTGCATACCCAAGAAGCTGGATTTCTTCAGGAAACCATGGTTAAGTTAATTGTGTGTTGCGTTAGACACTGGCAGTGAGGGATTAGGAAAATAAGATGGTAACATTTGGGAAAGGATAACAGTGTGACACAGGGGTAGGAAGATCCTTGTTTTAAAGCTGGAACTGCAGCTTTAAGATTCAGATAAGATTTAAAAACAATAGCTTACATTACAGCAGAAGTCCCTTCATTTTTGCTAATCAAATGTTACTATCAGTATATTTGGATTGTTGAGATATAGAAGGAATGCTTATTTTGTGCTGTATTATAAATAGATTAAAATATCATCAGCCTCCTGCTCTTTATCTCCCTCTACAGTATTTATACTATGTGAAGCTAAGTTTTTTTGTACCAAAAAAACATTGTGCATTTGTTTCTTGTTAATGCAGTAGTGCCTTCTGTCTTTCTTGATGCCCAGAAAAATCCAATAATCTTATTAGAAAAATAGGGCTTTGGATATTTCTGTTGCAAATCTGTCAGAATTTGTTTAACCCCTTCATGCAGTGACGTTTTTAGAAGCAATAGGTTTTCTGGACTTTAGTTGAGATACAGTACTGACATGATTGTCATGATGTCCTGTACTAGAAAACTTTATGGGGATCTGGTCACATTCCTGGGCTTCTCAGCAGCTTCTGATAACACTGATCCTAACCAGATTATTTATTTATTTATTTATTTATTTTTGAATTTGTATACCGCCCTTCTCCCTGAGGACTCAGGGCGGTGAACAGCCAAATAAAAACATCAAATACAAATATTAAAATACAGTTAAAAAAAATGTATATAAATTTGGCCCCATTAATTAAAACAATAAACCAAACAATTAAAAACACTTAAAAAGAATTAGGCCAGCCCGGCTTGTTGGAAAAGGAAGGTTTTAAGGGCACGGCGGAAGGCACTGAGGTCATGGATTCTCCTTATCTCAGGGGGCAACTGATTCCAGAGGGTGGGAGCCCCCACAGAGAAGGCCCTCCCCCTGGGGGTCACCAGCCTGCATTGTTTGGCTGATGGCACCCCGAGGAGGCCCTCTCTGTGGGAGCGCACGGGTCGATGGGAGGTCGTCGGTGGCAGCAGGCGGTCTTGGAGATAGCTAGGCCCTATGCCATGGAGCGCTTTAAAGGTGATAACCAACACCTTGAAGCGCACCCGGAAGACCACTGGGAGCCAGTGCAGCTTGCGCAGGAGCGGTGTTACATGGGAGCGCCATGCTGCTCCCGTCACTACCCGCGCTGCTGCGGGTAGAGTGAGAAGGGCAGAGTGAGTGAGTGAATGAATGAATGAATAAAATATCTTAAAAGTAGTTCCATGCATAGAATTTAGTTAATGTGATAGATTGGTTTTGGCAAATTTATAGCAGATACTTAGACAGTTTGGCTTACCATATTTACTGAATATCATGTAATATATTTACTCAAATCATGACTTAGTATGACATGAGCCACATCATTGGGTTACATCTCAGTCCTTAGCTATGATTTAACAATGAATTATTAAATACATATAGTTGGACGGTTCACAAAATATGTTCAGTTATAAACCATTATTTATAAAATACGGTGGCTTAATTCACATATTCTAATTTAAAACCAAGAAACTTCATTATGGCTTTGCATGTTATGAGAACCTGAACAATTTACAGATAATATTGGCTTGGAATTTTAGGAATTATGGTGCCAGTGTAATTTGTTTCTATGTAATGTGACTTTACGCCAGTTATTCTCTTTCAGTTCTGCCTATAGGGCTGGTAATGCACATGTAAACATAGGAAAGGCCCATTGAAAGCTATATTGTTCCCTTAGAAAAAGTGGGTAGAAATGTCTGTGCATCTTATAGAGCGAATATTGAGGCGGGGAAGAAGGGATTGGCCTGTCCTTACCACTACCACTGCCTGTCACCGCTGCTGCCGTTCGCCACTGGGGAACACTGGAGCCTTCGCTGCCAAGCAGCTGATTGGCGGCTGGATCGACCTCCCGGAATACTGACGATCAGCTGTTCTAGGCAGTGGGAATCACTGCCGATTGCTATCGCTGCCAATCACCAAATGGCAGCAGCAGTGATAGGCAGCGGTGGCAATCCCCACTGCCTATAACAGTTGATTGGCGGTATTCCGGGAGGCCGATCAAACTGCCAATCAGCTGCTCGGCAGGGAAGGCTCCAGCGTTTCCTGGTGGTGGTGGCAGCTCAGCTCAGTTGACTGGTGGTGGCCACAACAGAGCGGAACCCTGACCCTCTGGGGCTGTGCCCAACCCTGTGCTGGGTCTGCGATAACATGTTGGACCTGACCAGGCTGTTTGCTATTTGCTGCAAGGACTCTAGCCAGATAAATACTGGATGCATGCTGGGAGGCAGAGGCATTTTTTTTCTTGTTTTCCTCCTTTAAAGCTAATGTGTGTCTTATGGTCTGGTGTGTCTTATAGTGCGAAAAATACAGTAATTATGTGAAGAAATATTTGCTCCTTTCAGATTTTTGTCTGTTCTGCCAGACAAAACACAAAACAAAGTGTAACATAAAATAATCCTTGAAGTCACAAAGAATCCAACAACAGCTTGTAGATTCCTATAGGGATCTGTAAGTTTACAGGTTACTGTTGAAAAGCATTTGGATTTCTGGAGGGACATGACAAATAGTAAAAAATGAACCTTTGGGGATTACATAGATGTTGTTCAGTTAGAAAGCAAACACTATGTTTCAAAATAAGAACTATATACCGACCTGTTTATCAAACATGGAGAAGATAATATATATGGGAGATGCTTTGCTGCCTCTGAAAATGAATGACACACCATCACTGAAGGAATCTTGAATTTGGCTTTCTATCAGAATTTTACAGGAAAATACCAATCCAACTGTCGGTCAGCAAACAAAAAAGTTGATCATGCAACAGGACAATAATCCTGGACATGGAAGAGAACAAATGAAGAAAAACAACTTCAGTGTTTTAGAATAGCCAAGTTAAACTCCAAACTCCATTTATAGAAATGTTGCAGCAAGACCTGAATCAAGCAGTTCATGGTTGCAAAACCTTAAATGCTACAGAGTTGAAGTAACTGCAGTGAAGGAATAGGGCAACATTTCCCACTGTGGTGCAAGCATTAGACCATCAGTTACAGAAAAAAAGCTTGATTGCAGTTATTTCAGCTAAAGGACTTTACAAGCACTTACTGCTTGTAATTGCCTAAGGAGCACATTACCTAGTATACAATATTTGTTTATGAAATAAAATACTGTTGCACAACTTTGATGTTATTTATTTACTCAGATTCCTATCATTAGGACAGGCAGAAAATATTTGGCAATATATGTAAAGAGATCAGCAAATCTAAAAGAGGGCAAATACTTTTTCACAGCACATTAACTATCGTGACTGGCAGTCAACCACAGCCTTGTGGTATGTACATTATGTGAAGCCATCAGAGTTTATTAGTTTTAATAGCAAAAACAAGTAATCCTCATTTACGACAGTAATGAAAAAGTCAATTTGTGATCAGTCACCACATTTATGATCTTCACATGTAAGGCAAAAGAACAGTGAAGTTCAATCATAAACACAATTGTTGTTTCACTTAGCAATCACTTAACAATCAAGTTGCCAGCCCCAATTGTGCTGCTAAATGAGGACTATGTATATGCATTATATAAAGAACATTTTTTACTGCAATAACTTAAATATGTACTTTTAGTAAGCCAGCATGTATATTTTTTTTTTCAGAATGAACTACTGGTGTACTAATAAGAGAAATTGGCCTGTCTTATAGTTATGGCATGTCTGGAATCTTTGAAACAAAATTAACCATGAATATAGTTACACTTGCATAGGTGAAGGCAACATAGAATGAGGGGAAAAAAGAAATCATTGTTTCTCTTTTATTAAAAAAAAAGAAAATATATGTGCAAATGTAAGATATTTCAATCTTTAAAAAAGAAAGGAAAGGAAGTTTACATTTGTGAAAGACAAACAGAACAGTATTATTATTTGGGATAATAATTTACATGAATATCATCTACCACCATGCTAGTTTCTTTTAGTATTCTATTTTAATCCCTTCCTTTAATATATTTTTATGAACTGGAATTTTAGCTGCATTGAAGGTGCACTTTGAAGCGCCACTGGCACTGTTTGGGCAATTTGATTTTGTTGACAATTTAAACTAGGAATTCTGGTCCTTTGTATAGTTAGCAACCATCAGGGACCTATTGAGCTGCCCTTTTACTCCATAACAAATACAGGTAGTCCTCGACTTACGACCACAATTGACACCAAAATTTCTGTTGCTAAGTGAAACATTTGAAAAATTAAGTGAATTTTGCCCCATTTTACAACCTTTCTTGCCACAATTGTTAAGTGAATCACTGCAGTTGTTAAGTTAGTTACACGGTTGTTAAGTGAATCTGGCTTCCCCATTGACTTTGCTTATAGGAAGGTCAGAAAAGGTGATCACATGATGCCAGGACACTGCAACAGTCATAAATATGAGTCAGTTGCCAAACGCCTGAATTTTGATCACAGGTCCATGATTGTACAATCACTATAAATGGTCATAATTCACTTTTTTTCCAGCGCTATTGTAACTTCAAATAGTCAGTAAACGAACTGTTGTAAGTCGAGGACTACCTACACTCTGTGAATTGGGAAGAAACTTGCCCACCTCCTGTCTTGGAATACTTAGGCATGTACCGGTAACTAACTGGCTTATGTTTGTGAATTTAAAAAGTTGTTTTCTTTCATGATGGTAATACTTTGTTTTAACATTAGGTGGAAGAAAATGCAAGAACTTGACAAGATTGAAATCTTGAATCCAGAATGGTAGGTAGATTTTATTACTTTGATTCTTGCTTATTAATAAACCTAATATGAACTGAAGCATATGTTTCAGCTAGTTTTCTGTGTAACGTATGGGGCTAGTATTAGTATTGTTTAGAGTGGAATGAAAGTTTAAGCAGATGCTTCAGTCTTCTGAAGCTTTTAGTTTGCCACTAAAGTTGGCTGTTCTGGAGAGTCAGTGTCAACTGCTTTCAGTTTTAGAGGAGGAAGATGCTTTGATGGAAGAATTACTCTATAGCTTAATAAGGAAATCAAGATATCTAAAATCAATAGCAATGCTCATTGGAAGTTGCCCAGATGCAAAGATTATTGTAAACTTGTGAATACAGACTGAAGCCTCTCTTCTATTGTACAGTCCAAATCAAATAGTTATACTCCAAAAAAATTATGATAAGAGGTGTGAAAAATCTTTGATTCTAAAACAGCTGTTTCAAGTTCTAAGTAGGGTTGTTCCAACCTTGGTGGCAGTCTTCCCGAAATACTCCAGAAGTATTCTGAGCTTGAAAAGATCCTGCTTTGGGCTTAGAATGCAGTATCAGTTCTAAATGGTGCCATTTGAAGCTCAGAAGGCTTCTGGGGAGTTGGAACTATTCATTTCAAACTTAAGACATTTCAAATTCAAGACACTTTAGTCTGTGAACTTGATGCCATGCTGCATTTAGTCCAAGTCTTTTATCTTTTCCCTCTAGTGGTATTTTATGACGAGTACTTCCAAGCAGCAGAGTTCAGCACTGTGTGAATCCCTGAAAAAACTGCTGAAGTGTCAGTACATGTTTAAAATACAGATGGGAGAGAGAGGAGGGTAGAACTCTCTGTGTATTTCTTTTATGTGCACAGAAGAGATGAAGCATACAGAGGTATTTGTGTCTCACTGTGTCAGAAGCAATCGGTTTTCTGTAGATACAGTAATATCCGCTTAACCACCACATTTGGGATCAGTAAGTCTTGTCACTAAGAGAGACATCATGTGACTGCAATGGACCATCACTTCCCATTTGGTTGTTAAATGAGTCGCTGTAGCTCATTAAGTGAGTCATGTAACCACAAGTCACGATTTTATTGCCAGCTTTATTAATTATACTTGTCAAAAGCCAGTTGTGAAGCTTGCAAATGGTAATCACATGACCAAAGGGACACTGCAACGGTCACAAGTGCAAGACCAGTTGTGCGATTATTTTTACAATTAGGCAAGGATTAAGTACCTAAATCTGGAAAGAGGTAAGATTTTGAAATAGGTACGAATTGAAATGTTTGAGGATTAGTAAATGCAGTGATTGCATTGATGGCATAATGATTCCAATCAAAAGTATAATTTCTCATTATGCTCTAACATTTCTTTTAAAATTTAGATTACGGAGATAATATTCTAACTGTTATTCTTTGTTAGGCTTTTGTGTGTTAAAAAAAATGACTTGTCCAGCATTCCCCCATTTAGTGTCCTATAAATTTCTGGGTCTTCAGTGCTCACAATCTCATAATGCTGAGGACTGTGTAAATTGACCTCTGGTAGACTGTATTGGAGCAGAATGAGAAAGCTTTCCTTAGATATTAATTATTAGTTAAGGTTTCTGTTTCTTTTATTTATTGTTCAGCTGACTTTTAAATGTTTTTTCATAGCAGTAGATTTCCTTTTCAATGCTTTCTACAGTCCTGAATGAACAGGTTGCTGCAGCTGCAGACTTGGGCAAGTGATATAATTTGTATTGGAGTAATTATTAACTCTTCTCCTTCATAATAAATTATTGAGTTATACTTGCCATTAAAGAATGGAGCTGCTCTTGGCTGAAGATTTGGGTAGAAAAGGTTTCATTTTTAAAAAAAACACAACTCTCCATATAAGAAAAGACAGATTGTGTTTCCATTCCCTTGATAACTGTAACTATATTTTCTAGGAGAAGGAAATATTTTCTTAGTATTTCTTTGATTGCACATATGCTAGCAAGCAAATTTAAAAGGATTATTCTGTCACACTGTTTTAATAAATGAAAGATTTTTTATATATATATGGCACGAGTACAACTTCTGTCTCTTTCAATCAAGATAATTGCTTCATTATATGGTGCTATAGTGAAACAATAAACTGTTAAGAAAGCTGTGGTAGATAGGCTGACAGCTTGAATGATTATCAGGCACCCTACACCATACATCAGGAGACCAGAGGCTGCCATATACAATGTCTTGGAGAAAAATTAAAAATTAACATGAAATGAAAGATCTTCTCAACATCCTTCGAAACACCACTACAGTAAATAAGCAGTTCCAGCAATTATACTATTATGTCCTATTAAGTAATATGGAGACAGAGATCTCATGTTAACTGAGCAAGGCTTCCAGCCACAGTCTATAATCCACAAATAAGCATGATATCTTGCAGGAAACTTCCAGTAGAAATGTCCAACTGATACAGCCAGCATCCATTGCAGTCATTGGAGTAGAAAATGCAGGGCATTCACTGTATTATTAGCTGGTAACAGCAGCCAGAGCTGTGCTTCAAGAGTCAGAGAAGAAAGAGGGGGTGCTCAACAGGTAGCGCTACGCACAGCATGGGCCACAAATCACTTTACTAAGGGACTTCTGGGGTTCCATGCTGCCTAGCCTTTGTCATTCCTTTCCTGGCAAAGGGCTGAGTGGCAGTGGTGGTGGCTGACTCCAGTACTGTGAATCCACAGATGTCTTTCAGACAAATGTTTGAACTTTTTTAACAGCTGTTTTTTTAGAGGCACCACACAAAACATGGACGAAGATGAAGGCACTTCATTCCAGATGTATCTACAGTGGCAAAAAACATTTTAACCCAAGTAGAAATATTTGTAGTCCTGCAGTACTATAATCCACATGTTTTCTTAGCTCAATTTCAGTTCCATTAATATATAAAGAGATTCTGGTCTAACAAATGACACACTAAAGTAGACCGGGGGGGGGGGGGGAACAGTTATTGTGTGTGATGTAGAAGGTCCTGTTTGTCTTACTGGAGGAGGAGATTTTTATCTTCTCCTTTTTATATATAACTTGGGGAAATTAGTATATCTAATACTCCTGCCTTTTATTTTCCTCACAACAACTCTGTGAGGTGGGTTGGGCAGAGAGAAAGACAGTGACGTGCTTTCATGATGCTAGATTACCCTTTTCCAACATGATGCCCTCATGATTACTATAACTGTATTTGGCATTGAGAAATTACCCCTTTATGGTTGGGTTGGGTTGGGTTGAACTGGAATGGTCTTATTAAACTAAGGACTATTAAAGATATAGTACACATAGATATATTCTGAAATGTTTTAACAGTTCTGTGAAAAGCAAATTTACCAAACATAACCTATAGGCTATGTTTAATTCAAACAATGCGTTTTATGTGAGTTTTCCATCTTACTTTGCAGGATTTGCCAACCCAAAACTGATGGCCAAATTCAGAATGGTACAAAGCAGAATAATTGTGTTGATAACCTTTTTGAAGAAGCTCAGAAAGTTGGGGCCGTATGCTCAGAGCAGGCTAAGGTAAGTTTAAAGTAAATGGATGCGGGGTTGCAAGACATGGTAGTTATTTAAAAATTAAAGCAGTTTTTATTTAAGCAGTAGTGTTTTCCCCTGAAATCAACTAACAGTCAAAAAAGAAAGGAAAATGAAGTAGGAAAAAGAAGATAAGGAGGAAAAAATTAAGCAGAGATATGCCAGGCAACAGGCTAAAACATATCAGCTTGGACTTGTGTGCTATTTGGATTCTGTCTTAGGTCAGATTATGATTAAATAACTGATGTTCAGTATATTTGTGAAGAAGTGCATCTATGGATGACAATGAGGAATTCTCTTATTGCTCTACTAAAGAGGAAAGTAGCAAGAATTAATGCAAAAACTACCATTTCATTTGATAAGCATCGGTTTTCTAAAACATCGGTGGTAAAACAGGAGAATGACTCAAGAACAAATAAGTGAGGAATAAAAGTGCATTAAATACAAAAGCGTTTGTACATGAAAAAATAAGTACATGAAGAAAGGGTGAATGGATCAAGGGGAAGCAGAGGCCATAAATCACAGTTGGATGAAGTTGGCAGGCTAGCGGCCAGAGTCACCTTATTGGTGAGAGGAGCAGCCTATAAATTTAATAAATAAATAAATAAATAAACAGAAGGCAGTGAGTGAAGTAAAGGACATGGTTAGAAAGAAAGGAAATTTACAAGCATCAAAAGGCACAGTGAAAGATGTTGGTGTATATAGGCATTTTGGACTGATCTTTGTGAGGTACTGCTCATATGTTTATACATTTATTCTTGCATAAATGGTGTGGCTTAGCTCTTGATATAATGATAATTTGTGTTTTCATTTTACAGGCCGATACAATTATTACATTATGGAAAAATGGGTTTACAATAAATGATAGTGAACTCCGAAGTTACACAGATGTTGCAAACCAGCGCTTCTTGGATTCCATTAAAAAGGGGCAAGTCAGATTTGTATTAATGGGGTTTGCACATTACACTCTGTAGTGACTGCCCAGTTTGGGCAAAATTTTGGATATACTGTCTACTCTGTGCATCAATTCAAACTTTTTTTTTTAATGATACCCTTCTTTGAGATATGTGAAAGACAAACTAATCAAATGGCATTCCATGTTTGTTTGGTAATATATTTGCTGGCTGGTGAGCTGTTTCAATGGACAAAGTATGATATGTTGACATTTAAATTCAAAACTGGTCTTATATATGGAGATGCTTCATTATTATACAGTATATGGAAAAAAAATGAGAAGAAAAAGCTGAAAACAAAATGTTTGTTTGTTTGTTTGTTTGTTTATTATATTTATATACCGCCCTTCTCCCGAAGGACTCAGGGCGGTGAACAGCCAGAATCAAATACATAAATATAAAAGTTAAAAACAATTTAAAACCAGATTAAATACTTTGGCCCACAATTAAAACATCCCATTAAAATCCAATTTAAAATTTAAAACCGTTAAAATTAGGCTAGCCTGGGTTGCTGGAATAACAAAGTCTTCAGGGCACGGCAGAAGGTACGCAAGTCCAGGATCCTCCATACCTCCGGGGGCAGCTCATTCCAGAGGGCAGGAGCCCCCACTGAGAAGGCTCTCCCCCAGGGGTCGCCAGTCGACATTGTCTGACCAACGGCACCCCGAGGAGCTCCGCCCTGTGGGAGCGTACTGGCCGGTGGGAGGCTGTCGGTAGCAGAAGGCGATCCCGTAAGTACCCAGGTCCTAAGCCATGGAGCGCTTTAAAGATGTTAATCAACACCTTGAATCGCACCCGGAAGACCACTGGGAGCAATGCAGCTCGCACAGGAGAGGTGTTACATGGGAGCGCCCCGTCGCTCCCATAATCACCCGCATGGCCACATTTTGGACCAGCTGGAGCCTCCGGATGCTCTTCAAGGGGAGCCCCATTGCAGTAGTCCAGTCGGGAAATGTTGGACTATGACATACACGTAGTCCTTGATCTATGATTGCAATTGAGCCCTGAAATTTCCATATGTTTCAAATATTTCTCTTAGGGAGCTGCCTCTTGAGTTACAGAAGATCTGTGACAAAGAAGAGGTCGATGTGAAGGTGGATGATAAGAAGGATGAGTTATATATGTCACCGAAGGCAGTATTTCATCCTTTCTCTGGAGCAGGGTATCGATTGGGAAGGTGAGCAGCTTCATGCTTTTATGGTAGTAACTGAAACTAGCTTATGAAATGAATGGAGGTGATAGTTTTCTTTCATTCTTCTTATGCTTCAATCCTCTGCCTATATTTACTTTTGAGTAAATCTCAAAAAATGTATAATGTGAATAAGATGGCGCCTACATTTCTGGATTTTGAAGAAGACTTCTATAGGTAGTTCTCACCTTACAACCACAACAGGAACCAGAATAGACTCGTAGACATTAACATAATCTATAGCGGGTGTGAAATGCTACTGGTTCGGGGCGGTTCTCCTGAATCAGTAGTGAAAATGCTACTGGTTCGCCCGAACCGGTAGTAAAAAAATGCTTTAAAAAGAAAAAAAAAAAAGTTCCCATGATCGCACCGCACAACTGACACTGAACTTTTTTTAAACTTTTTTTTTAGCATTTTTTTACTACCCGTTCGGGCAATAGGTAGTAAAAAAAAGTTTTAAAAAGGTTCCAACAATCAGCGGTGCCAATCAGCTGTGCCGTGGGATCCTCTGAACTATTTTTTTAATTTTTAAAGCATTTTTTTAAACTACCTTTTGGGGGGGGGTCCATTTTTGCTCCCAGGAGGCTTCCCTGAGGCCTGCTAGGCCAAAAACGTGGATGCTAGGAAAGAAAGAGATGCTAGGAAAGAAAAAGAGAGAGGGAGAGAGAAAGAAAGAAAAAGAGAAAGAAAGAGAAGGAGGGAGGGGAGAAAGAAAGAAAAAGAAAGGGAGGGAGGGACGGAAAAAGGAGAGGAAGGAAGGACCACAAACCTGACACTAGACGCAACTTCAGAGGATACCTTGAAAGAGCACAGCAATCCAGGGCTGGAAGGGACCTGGAGGTCATCTAGTCCAATCCCCTGCTCCAGCAGGACATTGTTAAAGTGAGTTTCTGTCTTTTGACACACACCCCAGTCACATGTCTACATAGCCATCCCGCTCAGTCACATGACCCTACGCCCGCCAAGCCACGCCCACAGAACTGGTAGGAAAAAAAATTAGATTTCACCACTGATCTATGGACTGTGCAAAAGAGACAGTCAACCAGCCGAAAAGAGAACAAAAAGATTCCAGCACCTCTCCACCAGTAATCGGCACCCAGATCAGCATATATTAATTCCAAGGTTAACTTCAGACCAACGATCAAGTAAGCAACACCCCAATCAAGAAACTGCCAAAGAGTCATCAGTAAACAGCCCAACCAAAGAATCTCTAAGGCCGCCCCCACCAACACTGACAGGCAAGCCACTAGAATATTAAACTGACAGCAAACAGCACTCGGTGTTTGTTACCTAGTTAGGGTAATGAAACGCCTGTAAGAAAACAAGCTCAGAGAGCACAAAGGACCCCTCACCAGAATTTCTGTTGTCAACTTGTTAAGTGATTTTCCAACTTTTGCCAAACCTGTTAAATGAATCACTGCAGGTATTAAGAGAATCACAGGATGATTAAGCAAATCCAGCTTCTCCCATTGATTTTGCTTGTAGAAACCATCTGAGAAGATCACAAATGGGGTTCATATGACCTTCAGATTCTAAAATCATTGTAAATACATCCTGGTTGCCAAGAACCTGGATTTTGATCACGTGACCATGGGAATGCTAAAATGATCATAAGTGCAAGTCGTAAACAATTTTTCAGTGTCATTGGATGTTTGAATAGTCACTAAATGGATGGTTGTAAGTCAGGGACTACCTATGCAAAACATTTGCTTCAAACTTAGAGCTGAAAATATTGCTGCCTTTCTACTGAATATCCTATCTTAGTATCAAATAACCAGTTTAATAATATTTGTAAATGAAAGAGATGCTGGAAGACTAACAAGAATCATAACAATAGTCCAGTTCTCCCTCTCATTAAGTTACCTTTGGATAAATTCCCTTCAAATTGTACAGCATCACTGTACATTATATCTTAGTATCGTTCCTTTATATTAATTGTCTTTACCTTATTGATAATCTTACTTACCTTTCCCTAATCCAAGGCTGGCTTGGGAAGTCTAAGAATGTCAACTAATCTAGAAGACATCAGGTTGGAGAAAACTGACATAATTTGATGTCCTGGCCATTATGTTTCAGGAGATGTTGAATTCTATTCATATTGAGTCATTGTGGAAATCTCTGCTGTTGTTGGGTTTTGGGGTGGGGTGTTGTTTTTTTTTTTTTTTGGCTAGATATCAAAAAAAAAATTTTTGCTATAAGACCTATCCTGAATATAAGTCCTAGTATGTGCGCCCTAGCATGAGTGGTGCAGTGGCCTAGAGGTGGAACTCTTGCCTCATAATCAGGAGGCTGTGAGTTCGATCATAGGTAGAGGCAGATATTTCTCTCTCTGGGCACGAAGAGAATATATCTGCTGAATATAGTTCCGCATTGGCGACAGGAAGGGCATCCGGCCAGTAAACATTCAGCTCCATTCAGTTGCCCAGACTCCACCCCGCAAGGGCTTACGGGCCATTAAAATACAATGATGTGCACCCTAGCATGTGCGCCCAATATAAGTCCTACCCCCAAAATAAGTCCTACTTTAGTGCCTGGTGGTGCCCACACGTGGTGAGGAGGGTTGAGCTGCCCCATGCATACACTGGCTTACCTCAGGGGTCCCTGCAGCCAGGCCATCCATGCCCCAACAACTGCCTCGCGACGGCAGCACCAGCAGCCATGTGCAGCAAGAACCCATGTGGCCGCCAACCGACTTCTGCTTGCTTACCGACGCAACAGAGAGCAGAAGGCCGAGCAACGTGCCAGTGCTGCAGCCACAAGATGAGGCAGGTGTTGGGACATGGATGGCCTGGCTGCAAGGGCCCTGAGGTAAGCCGGTGTGAGGCACATGGGGCAGCTAAAAAAAAATAAAATAAGACCAACCGAAAAGAAGCCCTAGTGCTTATTTCGGAGCCCAAAAGAAAATAAGACTGAGTCTTATTTTCAGGGAAATAACGGTATTTAGCTACATAGCTCATAAATAAATTATCTAGAATGAAGTGAAATTATAATCTCATATGATTAAAACTTTATTTTTCAGTGCTACACCTAGAATAATTTCCAAAGTAAAAAAAAAAAGGTGAAGAAACTGAAAAGAGAAAACCGACAGTAGTGCTAAATAATTCAGAACCTATCACTAGAATCCAGATTTGGTTAGCAGATGGAGCAAGGATAGTACAAAACTTCAATATTTCTCATCGGTAAGAATAGATCACATTAACAGAATTCATTTTGTACAATATACTGTGCAGTTTACAGGATATTTACTTCCTTTCAAGACAAATTACAGCCCACCAAGCTATTCCTAAAAATGTTTACTTAGAAATGAAATTCTATTGCAACCATTGGGGCATACTTCCAAGAAAGTATTAGATATCAGCCAAAGTGCCTTTAAAAGATTAATTTGTTTTGAATACTGAGCCATGAAATATATTAGTTTTTCAACATTAGCTATGGATTAAACCTAGATAAGTATTTTAAAGTATATGTGAAAATAATAGTGTAAATTTTTTAAAAATTCAAAAAAGGAAACACACTGTTAAGCAAAGTGGTACAGCCATTGTGACATAAATGAGCCGCAGTGCATGCCGCATTCATTTTCCACTGGCTTCACACTGAATCAAGGCATCAGAAATTTCGGGAAATCTTATGTCAGTATGATAGCCTTGGCAAGGTTTTTATGCTAGGTTTAGTTTGCTTAGCCCTAATTTGTTGAATAAGCCACAGCTGCAGTCCAAATTACTGTAAGATAAAACTCTTTTGATTTGCTAATAAAGTTGTGTTTCTGCTTTTTCATACTTGAGTCTGATTGGATTTGATCCAGTATTGCAAAACATTGTATTTTTTTAAACTGTTTCTCTATGGATTGTGTGATATCTATATATATAAAAGCGAAATACCACTCACACATCTCACGAAATCTCCAGAACTGTAAAGCCTACAGACTTGAAATTTGGCACGTATGTTCCTTTTGGCTTCTAGGTGCTCACTGAAAAAGGTTTTTTCGAAATGACCATCAGATCATTAGTATTTCTTATATTATTATTAACACGCTCTGATGCTAAGGAGTTAGATGTTCTAGTCCTCCTCCCCACGTGAAAAGAACTCTGTTCCAACTGTCATGTGAGCGTGGCCAGCACATGACTCATCTGGCCGGCTGGGAGTTTAGACATTCTACTCCCCACCTGAAAGGGAGAGAAGGAGATAAGATAGGAGAGGCCTCTGTGGGGCAAGCCTGAGGAAGGGAAGGCAATAGGAGAGGATCAAAGGGGCCAGCCTGAGGGAGAGAAGGGGATAAGATAGGAGAGGCCTCTGTGGGGCAAGCCTGAGGGAGAGAAGGGGATAGGAGAGGATCATTGGAGCCAGCCTGAGGGAGAGAAGGGGATAAGATAGGAGAGGCCTCTGTGGGGCAAGCCTGAGGGAGAGAAGGGGATAGGAGAGGATCAATGGGGCCAGCCTGAGGAAGCGAAGGGGATAACACAGGAGAGGCCTCTGTAGGACAAGCCTGAGGAAGAGAAGGGAAGAGGAGAGGCCGATCCATAACTACTCATTAATTTTCAAGCTATAAGTGTCGATTTATCAAGCCTGATCACATAGTTTCATAGCGGAGCACAGGTATCCAGCTAGTATAGAAATACATGGCATGTGGAGGGGAGTTGCATTACTCCAGACTGTTTATTTTTCTCTAAGATGTTAGTGCATTGCTTCTCAATAACAGCAGTTTTGAGGCCTGTTGACTTCAATTGCTAAAATTATCATCAATGGATATGCTGGCTGTAGAATTCTGGAAATTGAAGTCCACATATCTCAAAATTGCCATAATTGGGAAACCAGTGAGTAAACTGGCTAAAGAACAATCTATCCTTTGGTTTTTCCAAAGTTGTTGTCCTCTCCATATACAGGATACTAAAACTTCTGCATAGAACAACAACTGATACAGAACAACAGGCTGGGGAAAGCTATCCTACCCCCTTTAGTATATACAGAAAAACTGTTCTTATCAATGACTGACCACGTGGTTCAAATTCAGAAAGAGCAATATTAGCAGTTTTCTAGGGAAAATTAATTTGGGATGGAGGATTAACAATTCATTTGGATATGCAGTGGCTATAATGCTTATAACTGTTCTGATTGAGGTTAGAACACCTCCTTTCATTGTATCGCAAACAGTCAGAAAAACCTGAACAGATTTATTCTTATATGAGCATAATGTTTTCATACATAACATATAACATAACATAACATAACATAATGTAACATAACATAACATAACATAACATAGAAGATGTTAATTTGGGAAGAACTGGTTTTCTAAATGTGTAATGATAAAATGTGTAATGAAAATATAAGTTCTATAGGAGAACTTAAAATGTGTAATGATAAAAATAAGTTCCATAGGAGAACTTAGAATATGCTTGTGTGGTGTTTGTGAAGGTCCTGATTTGCTCAAAATCAGTTTCTTCTAATTGTCATGACACCATGAAATTTGTTCTTTTAAAATGTGATTTAAAATGTCAGGCATTAATTTTTGTTCCTTTCCCTTTTAGAATAAGCCACATCAGAGACTTCATAATTGACTACCAGAGATATCAAGGAAGAAGACCTTTCACACTGACTACTTCACTTCCTTTTCGAGAATTATTGAATGAATCTCTCACACTAGAGGAAGCTAACTTAAAAAATGCTGTTGTTGTGCAAAGACTTAAAAATAATATTGAGCCTTTCCGGAGTTTCTCTTCTTAGTATTCTCTACCTAAAAGAAAGAACAGTTGCAGGAAAGGTCTTGGAAATGTGGAAGACAATATGCATACAGTAGGTCCCCAGTTGTGATTATTTTAATGTAGAACATTCAACTGTTAGTTGAGTGATTTTAGCTGAATCACCTCCACTTAGGAATAGCAATAATTCCGGTCTTTTATATGAGATCTACAATGCTGCTTTGAAAAGGTATGCAATGTATGCTGAACCCCAAAGGTTTTTTTTATATATATTTTGTTCGTTTGTTTTAAATAGCCTGGCAGAAAGTAATAGAGCCAACCCTACTGAACTGGGCATTCTGTCACCAGTAAAGGAACGTGTAGGGAAAATCTTGAATATTTCTGTAAGTTTGAAGTTGAAAAAATTTTGAAAGCACAATTTGACTTCATTCTTGCTTACTTTTTATCTGTTATAGTTTGATATATTTTATTCTATCAATGCTACAGTATGATATTGACATAACTTAATATATACATTTCATTTGTGCAGAAAAATACCGCAGGTACAGTTTTTAAGTGTAGTGGCTGTTTCTTTTGAAAATGTGTCTCCCAATGTATGCTTTAGGATATCAGAGGAGCAAATGACTAAAACAGCATCATGTCACAACCTCTTTCATATGTATATATAATACACACACGAAAGAATTGTGATTCTGGTTTTACTATTTTGACAAGTGTATTCCCTAGGGACATCTGACTGTACATGTCGGAATAATTCCACATGTAATAATTCCACTTTAATTATATGGGCATACCTCTGGATAGACCTAAATTTCAATTGCATTTTATGCCATTAAAAACAGAGAAATACATTATCTGTAGTCCTGAATTATTTATTTAGAACTCAGCTCTACTGCTTTACTCCTAAGGAATGTTTCGGTTGTTAGTTTTCAGATTGAAGCACTGAATAAGGAGTCTGCCTACTACAGTATATGAGAAATAACTTTCGGCTTTAAAAGGCAAGCCTTCTGCCTTTGGTTTTCTAAATAGAAGCAAGCTTTGAGAACACGTTTCAAGCAACCATTAAGAAATGAAGCAGATTTAAGTGCAGTATTAGAACTACATGTTTGAATTGATTCAAAGGCAGATGGTTTAGGATATAAAATACAGCTTTCATCATTGAAAATGTCTTGGCAGATGGCAGTTCTGGATAGTCTCATCTGGACTTGGAAGCTAAGCAAGATCAGCCTTGGTTGCAACTTGAATGGGGAAGCTGCCAGGGAATTCCAAAGGTGTAGAGTAGGCAGTAAATTTAAGAAACAAAATCCCATAAGGAAGAGGAAAACCAATTCTGTACTGTTGCCAAAATTTTGCAAAAACATTTCAATGAAATTATCAACTCAAACAGTAGTTTGTCATTTAGGAAGTCTGAAATCATTAGAAATACCTTTTATCATGTTGGTTTGATGGGATGGGGTTTATCAAGTGGAATCATATTATTAAGTCCTCCTACCTACAAAATTATTCTCATTATTCATTTATTACAACTGACGTTTTAAAAATGCTGGATATGAAAGAAACAATAATAATCATTTGAAAAATTATTATCTGGCCTGATATCCAAAGGAAAAGGGGATAAGAAGGAAATTGGGCAGAATCCTAATTCTTCAAAGCTGTTGATCAGGAGAAATGGCCTGGAGGACGAGGAGGCAAGTCACAATTGGGCCAACTTGCAGAGGAGAATCCACCTTGCCTTCTGTGGATAATTCAAACATGTATTTTCCAAAACGTCCTGCTCTTGATCACCTGACAAGGTCACTTTCAGGAACAAGAACAGCTGCATGGGACTTGAACATGGCTCCTGCCACATTAGCAGGAACTAGAATTGAATAATTAAGTCCGCCCCTGCTATCATATTCATTTTTTTTTATTATTAAATTAAGAAGTATAAGTGAGCTTTGCAGCTGGGACATTTTTTTTCCTTGATAATCCATCTCAGAAAATAAGGCCGCCTTTCTCCATCTGTGCTGCAACGAAGGCATCAGACAAATTATCCCAGAATACCTGTTGTGTGTTTTTTTTTAATACATCAGAAATGGGATTTTACCATCAGGATATATTACTTGGCCTTATTTGTGAATTCCATTGTTCATTGGTTGCTTTTTTTTTTGGCATGGCTGGATATGCATCCAATTTAATTTTTTTCCCGTTATTGTGGTATGTGAGCCAAGGCTTTTTAGGTTATGAACTTTGGCTTGTAACTTAAGAATGATGTGTGAACCCAGCCAGTAATGTCTAACTTATTAACTCATCATTGAATAAATCTTGGCCTAGGAAAGTATACATCCAGTATTTTTTGTCTCTAGATAACTATGTTTTAGCAAAAGCACATAAATTTATATACCGTTTCACAGTGCTTTACAGCCCTCTCTAAGCTGTTTACAGAGTCAGCATATTGCCCTCAACAATCTGGATCCTCATTTTACCAATCTTGGAAGGATGGAAGGCTGAGTCAGGATCAAACTGCTGGCAGTCGGCAGAATTAGCCTGCAATACTGCATTCTAACCACTATGCCACCACACCTGGGTGATTTAGGTCACCCAAATCCTGTGGAGTTACTTTTTTTACCTTTTTTCTACACCTTTCATTTTAGTGTAGGTTATGCATCATAACCTACACTAAAATGCTGATGCATCATAATGGTGCAGTGGATAGCCATGGGGCTTTCCTACATCCCAAGGCTAAACGTAAGAGATCCTGCTAGATTCAAACTAAGTATAATGCTTGGCTTTATTTAATTTTTATGGATTGAGCCAATTAATAAACCAAAGTAAAGCAAAATAAGGCTTTGCGTGGTATATGACGTGGATCTCCTCCATCTGCAAATTACCTCTAGCTAGCGACCAAGAGGAGGAGCTAAGAGTCAAAGCTGACTAATATCATCCCTAGACCAAAATGAATTTTAAGCATTCTTTAAAAAAATATTTTTATGTATGGATGTGTGCATGTATTTTTTAATTGGTTAAATGCTTTAACACTAAACTAGCTGATAATAAATGATATTATGATCCTCCAAGTCCCTTGGATTTTGCAAAAACCAATATGGAATATAGACTCACAATTTGAAACAGAATATAATGTCATTTCTATTACCATTGTATCTTCTTTTGTGTAAGAATTGATTTTACTGATGCAGACTAATGGGGATTTTTATTTGTAAATTCCTGCAATGTAATAAATCTAAACATTCTTCAAAATCATTAAAACTTTGCAAGGTTTACAGACTTCCCTACTTCTGTGTGAAATATTGTTTTTGTGAACTGTTACACATGTAGATAACCACTCAAAAATGAAATATGCTTGAAATCTCAACAGCAATATGCTAACTTGCATGTCAGCACATATAAAAACATGCATGCATACAATTCAGTATGTGTATGTCCTAGTGTCTCAGGAAACTAAAAGGTCATCTCGTAGGATGTGCTGTATCTTCTGTTCATTATTTTAAAAACTGCAGGTTGTATATCTCTTAACAAAGCACAGAACAATGTGGAGTATAAAATCAGAATAGAAATGTTGATGACTTCTAGTCTTCTAGTTCTATATGATGTTTCTCAAATTAATTGATCTTTACATCTTGTTTGATTTTATCTACACATTTGTACATCGGTATAGACACACATAGAACTGAATCTGTTAACTGGAATGCAACGTATCTATTAATTTTAACCAGGACATCTCATCAAAAACATCCACTTCATTTAAGTTAAAAAACATGTTTGAGATATTATTTCATAGCGTGCTACTACTACTTACGACCACCATTGAGCCCAAAATTTATGTTGCTGAGTGAGACATTTGTTAAGTGAGTTTTGCCCCAAATTACGACCTTTCTTGCCACAATTGCTAAATTAATCTCTGCAATGGTTAAATTAGTAACCTGATTGTTAAGTGAACCTGGCTTCCCCATTGACTTTGCTGGTCAGGTCACAAAAGGTGACCTGGGACACTGCAGCCATCACCAATATGAGTCAGTTGACAAAAGTCTGAATTTTGATCATGTAACCACGGGGATACTATAATGGTTGTAAGTGCGAAAAATTGTCATAAGTCACTTTTTCCAGTGCAGTTGTAACTTCGAAATGTCATTAAATGAACTGTTGTAAATGGAGAACTACCTGTACATTGCTTCTTTGGTTATATGGTGGAATAATTAAAGACACAAGTATTTCACTGAAAAAGATTTATCCTGTTCTTTCAAGACATCCTCTTTAGATTAAAATGAAGATTGCATTGAAAAGAAACAATGAGAAAAAGGCAACTCAAATTTCCTTAAGAAATAATATTTGAATAACGCTGTTTAGAAAATGATCTGCAGAATGTTTCACTGAGGTCAGACAATTACCAGTCATAGCCATAGCTGCATCCAGATCTTGCAATTTTTGGGAGGTGTCAATAGTTGTTAAATTTGCTGTTGAAAATCTGACAATCTCTGTGTTCATCCCCATTCAAGACTCAGGCAATTAAAAGGGGGCAAAGAATAAAAACCTGTTTCAGATTTGGTATTTCCACCAACAGGAATGGATTACCACCTTTGACAAATGTGGAATTCAGATTTGCTAACTTTACCCCAAAACCCTATGAAGTAATCATAACTTGGTTGGAAATTAGATACAGGTTAAACTGAGAATTGTTCCTATTTCATAATATTCTCAAAGTTCCATTTTACACTTTCCATACAAAACTGAACTGGGAAGCTGAAGCATGGATGTAAAACAGGCTATTTGTATTCGTAGTGGAATCTTTTATATGAGATTTTATATTCTGTAAGCCGCCTTGAGTCACCATGTGCGAATAGACGGCAATATAAATTCCCAAAATAAATAAATTCTTGGTAGTTAAAAGTTGACTGGACTTTTGAAGAGAAATATTAACTTTTTGAAAAATTGGGTTATTTCTGCGATAATACAACTTTACATTTGCAAGTTCATAAAATGTGGAATACTGTATTTACCTGATGGAAATATGGAATGTAATTTTGAACTTAAGTCACTTTCCCCTCAAAAGAAAAGAAAAACTACATCCGCCCCGTTGTAATATATTCTCAGAAAATCTAGAGCGCCTTTCCAATTTTGGCAAAGTAAATTAGAGGAGAAAATACACCTCCGTAGTCTTAATTTTTGGTGAATATGTGTATGTAATATGCCTGAGATGCAGCGTAATTTGCATTTGTAACGCAACACAGTACTATAACATATAGAGACGGTCGCCAAGCCTTTCCTTTAAGTGCAGGGAAAGCACGTATGGTAGTGATTAAGGTACCATTTACACTGTGAATCCCGCTTCAGGCTCGAAAGCCGGCTGGTCCCTCGTTCTCGCTCCTCACTCTCGCTCTCCCTCTCTCCCTCCCTCTCTCTCTCTGGAGGAAAATAGGAAGAGGAAGGTGTGTTGGATATGTTGATTTATTTATTATTAATTTATTAATTCAATTTGTATGCCGCCCCTCTCCGAAGACTCAGGGCGGCTCACAATGCATTTAAAATCATTATAAAAAACATTTAAGAATTAAAAACATTAAAACTCATTCACACCATTCATGGCCGGATCTCGCCAGATCGCAAGAGCGAGATCAACAGCTCCAGGCCTGCCGGAAAAGCCAGGTCTTCACTGCTTTTCGGAAGGCCAATAGGGTGGGGATGGTCCGGACCTCAGGAGGTAACTGGTTCCAGAGAGCTGGGGCAGCCACAGAGAAGGCCCTCCCCCGCCGGCATTGTTAGCTGATGGGACCCGGAGGAGACCAACTCTGTGGGATCTTACCAGTCATTGGGAGTTATGCAGTAGAAGGCGGTCTCGAAGATACCTTGGCCCTGAGCCATGTAGGGCTTTAAAGGTAATAACCAACACCTTGAATTGTGACCGGAGACCAATAGGGAGCCAGTGCAGCTCACGGAGAATTAGTGTAATGTGGGTGTACCTAGGTACACCCACGACAGCTCGCGCAACTGCGTTCTGGACCAACTGTAGTCTCAGAACACTTTTCAAGGGTAGTTCCATGTAACACACATTGCAATAATCTAACTGTGAGGTGACAAGGGCATGAGTGACCGTGAGGAAAGCTTCCTGATCCAAGTAGGATCGCAATTGGTGCACCAGGTGAACCTGTGCAAAGGTCCCCCTCACCACAGCTGTCAGATGTTGCTCTAATCTTAGCTGTGAGTCTAGGAGGACACCCAAATTGCGAACCCATTCTGAGGGGGACAATTTCCTCCCCCCCCAGAACCAAGGATGTTCCTTGCCTTACTTATAAAATAAAGGCGGGAGAATTTATTTTTTTAAAACAAAGTAGTCAATTTATGGTGTACTGTATTTTACAGTGAAGCCAGCCCCCGTGGCTTGCATTCCACTCGTTGCAACCACCGTCTTCCTGCAACTTTAGTTCCAAGACGAAGTGCAGTGGGCTGCGTACCCGCGCACCTCAGACCGCGTCTAAAAAGTGGCTCCGCGCAACGACAGGTTTGCAAAGCCGCCCACGGGATTCCCAGTTGCGCGAACCCACCCCGCACGTCCCGGTGCAGCAACATTCGGCTACAGTGAAATAAAACAGTGCCAGACGGGCAGGCTGCGCTCTAAGGGAGAAAGGGGTGGGAGGGGAGGTAATGATGATTTGAGACTCGGGTGCAATGCATGCTTTCGCACTTAAACTGCATGCTTCTCTGCGCTTAAACTGGAAGCAAACGGCTCCTGAACGGGGTTGCAGGCTGTATCCCGTTCAGAAGACGCGTGTCTTTCTCCGCGGTACAGGAACATTCCGTGTTCTACTGAACGGGTCGGGAAGGCTCTGGGCGAACCTGTGGCCAAAACGGCGCGCTTTTCAGTGCTCTCCACACAAGGCTCCCTCCTGCGATCGGTCCCGCCCCGGATTATCAAGCGCCGAAAAGCCGGTGGCAGAAAGCTGGAGAGGCTACTGTCTAACCTGGGATGGCAGGTGTTGGAGCCAAAGATCCGCCGCCGGGGCAACAAGGCAAGCTGCCTCCGAACCCACCATTGCAAGAGACTGGCCAATCCCGCCACTTTCAAGAGCCGGAGCAGTCGCTGGGGCGGGCGGTCGAAGGGGTGAGTCTCGAGTTTCTCCGGTTTGTGCCGTCCGGCTTCTTCAGGCGTGTTCCAGCGGTATTGGGACGGGGGAGAAGCTTAAAGGTTGCGGTGATGCTTCTCCGAATCCCTTCAAGGCGGCAAAGGAGGAGGTGCAAATTCCGTAGTCCAGGAATCCTTTGGGAGTATAAGTGCCTTCCTAATGTTGATCTCTTGGCAACTGCGTGAGATTCACTATTGACTTTCTCCACAATATTTCTTAGACTTATTGATCCTGGTTCCTGGTGGTTTCCCGTTCGTGGGCTAAACCGTGCTTAGTCTTTTGGGGGGGTACAGTAGACTATCAGCTGGGCATCTGGTAATAGGAGATAATATACCGGTATATGGGAAGAAAAGAGGTTGGTGGAATGATGGAATTCAAGTACAGTATCAAAACCCTTGTTCTGTAAGGGAAGCAAAAGTTTGATCTTTGTTCTTGCAGGATGCAGAACTAGATTGAAGTAGCTTTAGCTGTAAGAGGGTAAATTTTAGATAAACTTTAAAAGTGATCAAAGTACTGACAATGGAAGTAGTTCAAACTGATGGTCTTCCTTGACCAGAGATCTGGCTGTCCCATCTGTTGTGGAGATGCCTTCTCAAGAGCAGGGCATTAGGGCCCCTTCATTTTGGTGGCATCATTTCCAAGGGGGCCAAAACTATAAAGCTTACAGTGTCTATAGTCACCCAACATATTAAACCAAGGTGAAATGAGCATATTACGGCTTAGTGCAATATGTAACTCTAGGTATCGTCCTTCCAAAGAGTGCATTATGATGGTGGGGTTATTCCAATTGAATAATGTAGACCATAAGGGATGTGGGTTTTTTGGGGGTGGGGGCGGAATAGAAATTTTCAGTCTCTGCTTTTTTTTTTCCATGATGGCAATAGACATTGGGACGATGTTCATTCTCAAAATGATACAAAAGCAAGCGTATCTTAAAACTTCAGAACTATAAAAGGGAAAAATCATTGTCTTTTTCAGGAAGTTAAAGAATAGAAACATGATTTAAGTTAAACCAGGTCCTTGAATAGGTAGAGGTATTGGGGTAGTAAGGTAAAGAAGTTTCTTTTTGGCTAAGCACAATCATTATAATGCATTCAACAAACTATGGTTACATAAGCATGAACCACATCAGTCTACAATCCAGGGACAAACCAGTT